GAATGGGATTAGGATATTGCTTCTACTATACCTATTAAATAAAGATGAAAATAATGGCACCTAACTCATTGAGTTGTTGTGAGAATCTAATGTAATAGTGGAGAAAGGAACAAGCATTTATTAAGCCTACAACATGCCAGGCATTTTTGAAATATTTAATTTGATCCTCATATCCATCCTTAGAGGTACATGCTAAATTGTCCCTATTTTAAAGGTGAGGAAACAGAGGCAGATAGAAGTTAAATGACTTGCCCAAGTTACAAACTTAGTAAGTATCTGAGGTGAAATTTGATACTAGGCTCAGCATTTTATCCACTACATCACCTCATTGCCAAATGTGGAGCTTTGTAAGACTTGAAACACTTGAACCACAAGCTTTTATTATTATTGCATTTCCAGGGCTTTTTATGTCATGCTTATGATATTGTTGAATTGAGACAACTGTTTAGGAAGGAAGATCTATGCTCAAGGATCAATCTTCTTCTTTTAACTTCATATTTTTGGGATTTCCAACCATTTCTGTTAGGCCTGTGAATGAGATCAATGGATAGAGACTGCCGAAGGGAAGATTTCAACATGATATGAGGAAAAATTTCCTAACAATTAAAACTGATCCACAGTAACATAGGCTGCCTTCTGAGGTGATGGGTTTTCCTCCCTGAAAATCTTCAAATGAAGGTTATATCAGTATCTGATGGAGGCCTTGTAGAAAGCTTCCTTATTTAGGCAAAAATTGGACTACAGGGCCTCTGAGGTAATTTCCAATTTTGAAATTTTGATAAAGTATAATGATATGAAATAACCAGAAACCAGATTCTTTGATCTATATCTTAGTACTTTGGTTGGAAATATTATTTGGATTCTGGTCAAATTGCTTGCTAATGTTAGGGTATTTTTGCTTGATTGTAAGATATTTTTCTGTAATTAAAAATGTCCCATGGCATTGGCCCTCTGTTGTCCTCTGTGTTCCAGCTCTGGTTTTTCCCCCTCTTTGTAAATTTTGGCAAATGTAGAATAAGAGCTGACATTCAGTTCCTTTGTTATTTTAGCCCACTCCTTTAGCTGTTAAATGGATAGAAACAGTGCTGGATGCTGTGATTTAGGCTAGAAAGATGAATTCTTTTGCAGCAAACAACTTGATAAATAAACAAGAATATTTATCTTCCAGGGTCCAATTTTATAGAAAGTATTAAATGTAAAAGTGTTTTGAGTTTCTTAGGAACAAACTGCTTGTCCATGTCATTGTGTACGTTTTCTAAAATTTAGTAATATCAGTGATTCCTTGGATTCACACAGGCTCTATGCCCTGAACACTTTCAGAAGATACAAGTTCAGAATTGTTTCCAGGTTTAAAAAAATCCCTAGTGTCTTCAAGACTTTTTTGGTAGGTACACGGGTAGCCATTTGACAAATAATTTCTACAAGCAATTTTAGAAATGTCAAATGAACTGCGGTCTGAAGTGTTTTGTACTTAGTGACTTTCCATACCTCCCTGTTTCTACCACCTTTATCTAGTGCACTAAATAATACCTTGGAATCCTGACCTAGAAGAATTGATTTATTTTTCAAGGTTGAACAATCTACTCTTGTAGGACCTAGCCATCATTACTCTATTAAATCAATATGGACTTCGAATACTTTAAATTTTCCCCAGACAGATTGGAAGATGACAGCTGCATGAGAGAAGAATGTGTTGATATTTGTGTCTTGCTTCTCAATAGCTTGTTCCAATACTCCTCAACTTAGTACTTAATCAACAACCCCATAAGATTTAAGAATTGATATGCAAAAGAAAGGACTTTTGAAGCATCCCTTTGGAACTATACAAAGATCATTTAGAGGAACTGGTAATGTCATGTGTACATGTGAGGAGAGGGTTCGTGCATAAAAATTGTCCTCAAATATTTGAAAGACTGTCATGCTATCTTGGAAAAGAGTGGATTTCTTCTATCAAAAGGTTGCCAAGGAGAGGCTGGATAACCACCTGTCTGGTATATTGTGGAGGTAATTCCTTGATCCAGCAGGAACTAAACCAAGCAACCTTTATAATTCTTTCCAACTCTGAGAATGTTTGATGTTATTATTACCTGAGTGTGTTATGTTTGATTTATCTACCATAATTAAAGAAAAACAAATAAAATTACCAGGACCCAATATTCCTTTAAAAATATCATTAGATGAAGACTGCGGTACCAAGCTTTTCAAAATATTTTAATGAATCAAATTTAAAATATTGGGTTTGCAATTAGACACATACACAAATACACATTTGATGTATTTATTTGTGTACAAAATATGTTGTAATTTATCGATGTGTGTGCAGCAAAATATACTATCACATACAACAAAAATACAACATTTTACTTTCTTTCCCCTGCTTTCCAACACGGCAACACTGTTTTGGCAGTTCAGCAGCTAGAAATAAAGTGCTATAATTAAGCAGTATTGGAATGTCTTCACTTCACAAATGTGATGTACAATTTTGGTATACAACCACATGTTTTTTCACAGAATTGTAAGCTCAATACCCTGAACACTCAGAGGATACAAATATTTGTATATATCTACATGAATATATACACTGTATATATAAAGTGCTAACCTGAAGCATGTTTTCTTGGTGAGCTTTTGTGTTGGTTTAGGGTTTTGTTTTTTTTAAAGAGACTTTCACACTAATGGGTCTAGAAGTTCATCAACAGGCACTGCGTAGTTCACCAATGTTGTCAACTTGTGTAGTGCAGGGATGAGAAGAGAGGACCCTTTCACACGTCACTGGGGGACCTAGAGCGGAAGTGCACTTTGGACTGGAAACAACCACAGAACAGGAGCCACATGGACCTCTGGATCTCCTGGTTCCTATAGGCATAGATAATGGGGTTAATCATGGAGTTGTAGGTGGCAGGGAGCAAGGTGGCATACGTGTACACTGACGGATACTCATGACTGCCCACCACACAGTAGATGGCGAAAGGGAGCCAGCTGGCTCCAAAAGTCCCGAGGACTATGGCCAGAGTGCTGACCCCCTTTCTGGTGGCTACGTAGTGAGGTGGGGCAAGGAAGTGCTGCTGCAGAGCGATCTGGTGAGCGTGGCGGCAAACCACCTTGCAGATGCGAGCGTAAAGGTGCAGCATGATGGCGAAGACCACGAAGAAGGAGGTGGACAGTAGCGCCACGTGGCTGCGAGTGAGCGGCCGGACCACACTGCAAGAGGCACGGTCAGCTAGGCAGTTCCAGCCAAGCACTGGCAGGAGCCCCAGGCATAGGGACACCCCCCAGGTCACCGCCAGCATAAGATGGACGCACAGTAGGGTCCGCTCTGAGTAGTAAGTGAGAGCGTTATAGAGCGACAGGTAGCGGTCCACTGTGATGGCCAATAGGCTGCTGACGGAGGCAGTAAAGGAGGACACCAGGAAACCCACAGTGAGCAAGCTGACGGTCTCAGAAGGAATCACATACTGGAACACGAAGTTTAGGATGAGCCCGCAGCCAGCCAGCAGGTCAGCGGTGGCCAGGCTCCCCACCAGTACGAACATGGGCGTGCGCAGCGCTGGAGTGGAGGAGATGATGGCTACCACCAGTGCATTCTCACCAGCGATCACAGTGCCGGACACACACAGCATCACATCCCACGGATTGATGGCCGACAGAAGCAGCCCAGGCGAACCCGCCGGCAGCTGCGAAGAGAGCTCCAGGGACCCATTGGCGCCATTGCCCAACTCCGCACTCCCAGGGGGCAACCATCGAGTTGTGTCAGATGCTGCTGCTGTCGCTGCTCCTTCCACAGCAACCGCTGCTGCATCCACAACCCCTGAGTCGTTTAGGGAGGTGGTACTCAAGTTCATACTGGCCCGGAGCTGCAGTCTGCACCGAAAGAGAAAGACAAGTGTCAGGTGTGCAGCTCAGGATGCCCCGGAAACTTCCACTAAGAGAAGTGACTCTCCTAACCCTAACCTATTCCACCCGCGAAACCCAAAGCACAGAGGGAGAGAGGACATGGAAAGTGAGAAAATACGCACTCATATAACATTTTCATTTCCTCGTGAAAACTGATAGTGTTCATGTTCACATGCACATATGCTAATCACGTGTGTGCAAGCCAATATACATGCAGTGCATACACGTGTGGACATATACACGCAGGAGGGTGGCCAATTGTAAAAACAAGCTGGTGTCTGCCACTTTGCAGGCCGAAAACAGCACAGGCTCAGTGGGTAGTGGACCGCTGTCCATGGTGCTGACGAGCAAAGTTTCTGATACAGTGCACTAAAAAGAGGATCCGAGCTCCGGAGCTGAGAAACCAAATGGAAAACCTGGTTTTCCTTCTCAGGTTTCTGGAGGAGCAGGATGAAAGGTGGCAATGGATATTTACGTTAGCATATGGCACTCTTATCCCCTAGCCCACCCTCCTAAACTCTCTCACGGGGGTTTGGACACTTACCTGGGCAAGTTAGGAATGCGGAAGCTCGTTTTGCATGGGGACTGCTCTCACATAAGTCGCCTGAAGCTCCTGCTGTCCGCTCAGAGGGTGCTTGTCTTGCTAATGACTGGTTCAGAGTGTGAGCAGGAGGTAACGTGAGCCTGAGCTCACAGTAATCGTAGGTGTTTTGCTTTGCTTCCCGCTCTCAGCTCTCCGTGTGTGAGCGAGAGATAGGAGAGAGAAAGGGAGAGTGAGAGAGAATGCCCTCTAGGAAGCTGACAGACAAGTCTCTGTGACGTCAAGCAGTAGAGCTTTGGATCTGAGAGGTGCAGTTTGGTCTCTTGGCCGCGCCCCCAACCCTTTTCTCCCGCCTCCCTCCAGCAGAATAACAGTAGGTTCAGGGATTGGGAGAAGCTAAAGAAGTGGCTCTGGTATACAGAGTGGATGCTCCAAGAACCTCCAAGAATGAGGAGAGGAAGAAAAGAGGGAGAAAGGCTGTGATGTGGGCATCGAGGAGACAGGGTGAACTGGAAGTATTCATAGCTTAAAAACAATAAGGAAAGAACACCCAATCGTGTGAGAAGGAAAGGAGAATGAGGAGGCAACAGGAATTCGGGGGTGATGAGGGCAAGAGGAAGATAAAGTTAGCTGAAAGGTAGTTCTGACTAAATACATACACACACACACATATACACATTCATACATACATATATACATAAATACACACACACACATATATGGAGAGAGAGAGAGAGAGAATTAATATACATATTGCATAGCCAATGAGGAACCCTGAGGTTAGAGACAAACTAGTAAGAAGGAGGCTGAGGAAGAAGCATTGGCCAGTGATGTGGACAAAGTAGGTAGTATGAAGTAGTGGAGATTCCAGATGGGAGTTCGGATACCTGTTTCTTTGTACCAGCTTTGTTGCTAACAAACTATATTGCCTTGGACAAGGTACTTCTCTTTGGGCCTCACTTCCTCATCTGTAAAAGCAGAGGATTGGATATGATGATCTCTAAGCCATTCCAGACCTAAAATTCTTTGTTACAGAAATGTCCCATATAGTATTTGGTTTGGGAGCAATACAATTTATTCATGGGGAGAGGGAGAGGAAAAGACAGATGAGGGATGGGGGAGTTGTGTAGAGAAGAGAGATGAAGATGGTAGGACACTTTTAAGAAAAACAATTCATTTTAATGTCACCTGTGCTAATTCTCAATTTAGAAGAAGGAATTGTGCATTGAAGATTTCAGCAGGTTTTCCCTTGCTGAAATGTTCCACAGTTTCGCCAGATGATAGTGCCCTTGAAACTTACTCTTTAATTAAAGACCAGGATTGTATCTTATGAGAAAAGAAGAAAACAGCAAAATGTGATTTACTTTCTTGGCAACTGACTTGTCCTGTTAATTATTACCCTATAAAGCAAATTACAGCACTAAAATAGTGATAACTCAGCTGTAGCAGACCAAAGGAGGCAGGAACTTTATTTTCAGCCACAGATGGATTATCCATGCAGCTTAACGGTGTTTCCTTTGTCAGTAAAATAAACTTATCAGACTTTTTTAAAGCAAACCCTCCAATTATGGAGGTTGTTGGAGAGGTGGCTTGGTCTACTGTGTACCTTGTTAATTTGTCTTCAAGAAGACCTGGATTAAAATCCTACCTCTGGCACTTACTCTCTCTGTGACCATGAGTAAATCACATAACCTCTCTGAGCCTCAATTTGCTCACCTATAAAATAGAATAGAGTATACAGCTTTCAGGATTGATTTGAGACTCAAATGAGATAATGTATGTAAAGTGCTTTCTAAACCTTAAAGCCCAATATAAATGTAATTTTTACTACTTTTAGATGTATTAGATAGGAATAATTTCACATATGTTGAATATAATTAATTTCATTTCATAATGTATACTTATGTCATGTATTCTTCATGTCCAGTTCCAATTATTTTCTCAAAGGAAGTAACCATGATATGAAGACTCCATGTAGTTTACAAATCTTTGGGTTCTCTCAGTCCTCATTGTTGATCCATGTTTACCAATAAATTTTTCACTTTCTTCACTTATTCCCACATTTGAACTGGAATAATGGAATTTCAAAATGCATATTGATTTGATTTGGAAGGTCTTTAAACTTTATAGAACATCTCTTCATTCTCTGCAACAGATATTGGTACATAAGTTATAATTATTTTCACAAGAGGTTTTTTTTTGCAAACAATTATTGTGAGTATTGCAATATGAAATGACCAAAAATCTAATGAAATTATATTCTGTGCCTGCAATTGCTCTGCTGTTTCCTTCATTTTCCTCACCAAGGAGGACCCATGAGCCATACTTCCATTTAGCCACAACTTCCGTCTTCTGGTTTCATTTATAGAGAGAATGCCAAGATTAATATAATTTAGTGCTTATAGTAGTATGCTCATTCATTGGTCCTTGGATCTTACATTTAGAGTACCAATAGCTAAGTTAATGTTTACAGATTGTCTAAAAACTGGGTAATTCTTAGCATTTTCTCACCCCAGAATATATGTATATGTATACATGTGCATGTATAAATATTTATATGTATGTACAAATACATATACACACAAACATGTATATATGTATATATATATATATATATACATACACATATATATGTTTATCTTTATATATGTGTGTGTATGTGTATCTTAGACAAACACTGCAATTGGAGAATGAATTGGACCTGAACTGGCTAGGAGGAGAAGACAGGGCTAGATTGACTTTGGAAAATTACAAATTGCTTTTAATTACCCCAATATTCTCTCCCTGACTCCCAATCTTCTTTCCATCATGAGTCTTTTGAAATTGTCTTAGATCATTGTATTGCTGAGAAGAGCTGTCTATCAAAGCTGATCATTGTGCAATGTTGCCATACTATGTACTGTGTACAATGTTCTCCTGGTTCTCACTTCACTCAGCATCAGTTCATGTAAGCTTTTCCAGGTTTTTCTGAAATCCTCCTGCTCATCATTTTTTATAGCACAATGGTATTCCATCACATTCATATACCACAATTTGTTCAGCCATTCCCCAAATGATCCCCTCAATTTCAAATTCTTTACCACCACAAAAAGAGCTGCTTTAAATATCTTTGTACATGTGAGTCCTTTTCCTTTTTTATGATTTCTTTGGGATACAGAGCAGCATTGCTGGATCAAAGGGTATGCAGAGTTTCATAGTCCCAAATTGTTCTCCAGAATGGTTGGATCAGTTCACAACTCCACCAACAATGCATTAGTGTCCCAATTTGCCCACATCTTCTCCAACATTTATCATTGTCCTCTTTTGTCATAGTAGCCAATCTGATAGGTGTGAGTTGGTACCTCAGAGTTGTTTTAATTTGTGTTTCTCTAACCAATAGTGATTTAGAGCATTTTTTCATATGACTATAGAAAGCCTTAACTTCTTCATCTGAAAATTGTCTGTTCTGATCTTTTGACCATTTATGTTTGTGTAATTTCTGTTGAATATTGTTCAGGTGATGTTGCTCTGCTAGACTGCTAGATGTGACACTGTTCTGCTGGGCACATCATCTTGGCTATACACTTTCAGGTGTCCATGGTCCCACTGGACAGAAGTAGCTTCTGGATTAAGTTGAAGTCCTTAGCCTTCTATTCCCCATGAGAATGGTGGACTCAGTTCAAAATCTAGGGATTTTTTTTTAAAAAAGCTTTTTAAAGAAAATAGCTACCTCAGTCACAGACCAGTATAAAATGTTTCTTTCAAAATACTCAGACTCCCTCCCCACATATACAATAACCTGTTTTATTCTCTTCATTTTCTATGTTATGAGTTCTCTCATATATCTAGGAATTTCTTAACCTTAGGTACCAACCTCTTTAGAACAAGGAGCAGAGGTTCAAGTCTGTCTTTTTCAACTAAACTTCCAGGTACAATGATTTAAGTCTTTTTTAAAATTTTTTCTTTTACTTGCTTAATATAAATTTATTTATTTTTAGTTTTCAATATTCACTTCCACAAGTTTTTGAGTTCCAAATTTCTCACCCCTCCCCCACCCCAAGATGGCATGCATTCTGAATACGCCTTCCCCTGGTCTGCCTTCTCTTCTATCTCTCCCCCCTCCCTTCTCTTATCCCCTTCCCTTTCTATTTTCCTGTAGAGCAGGATAGACTTCTGTACCCCATTTCCTGTATTTCTTATTTCCCAGTTACATGTGAAAACTTTTTTTTAAAACATGTGTTTTTAAAACTTTGAGTTCCAAATTTTTTCCCTTCCTCCCTCCCCACCCACCCTCATTGAAAAGGCAAGCAACTCAATATAGGGTGTACATGTGCAGTTATGCAAAACACTTCCTTAGTAGACATGTTGTGAAAAACTAACTCTATTTCCCTTAATCCTATCCTGCCCTCCCATTTATTCTATTCTTTCTTTTGACCCTGTCCCTCCTCAGAAGTATTTGCTTCTGATTACCCCCTTTCCCAATCTGCCCTCCTCTCTATCACCCCCTGCTCTCTTGTCCCCTTCTCCCCCTATTTTCCTGTAGGGTAAGACAGATTTCCATACCCAATTGAATGTGTATGTTATTCCCTCCTTAAGCCAAATCCTATGAGAATAAGATTCCCTCATTCCCTCTCACCTTCCCCTGTTTCCCCTCCACTGTGGAGACTTTTCTTTTCTGTTTTTTTTGTGAGATAATTTACCCCATTCTACCTCTCCCTTTCTTCTTCTCCGAGTATCATCCTCTCTCATCCCTTAATTTTATTCTCCAGATATGACCCCTTAATCTTCAACTCACCCTGTGCCCTCTATCTATCTATCTATACATACATACAATTTTTTTCCTTCAACTACCCTAATACTGACAAAGTTCTCATGAGTTACAAATATCATCTTTCCATGCAGGAATGTAAACAGTTCAATCTTAATAAGTCTCTTATGATTTCTCTTTCCTGTTTACCTCTTCATGTTCCACTGGAGTCCTGTATTTGAAAGTCAAATTTTCTGTTTAGCTCTGGTCTTTTCATCAGGAATGCTTGAAAGTCCTCTATTTCACTGAATGACCATTTTTTCCCCTGAAGGATTATACTCAGTTGTGCTGGGTAGGTGATTCTTGGTTGTAATCCTATCTCCTTTGCCCTCCGAATATTATATTCCATGCCCTGTGGTCCTTTAATGTAGAAGCTGCTAAATCTTGTGTTATCCTGATTGTGTTTCCACAGTACTTGAATTGTTTCCTTTGGCAGCTTGTAATATTTTCTCCTTGACCTGGGAACTCTGGAATTTGGCTACAATATTCCTAGGAGTTTTCCTTTGGGGATCTCTTTCAGGAGGAGATCTGTGGATTCTTTCAATTTCTATTTTGCCCTCTGGTTCTAAATATCAGGGCAGTTTTCCTTGATAATTTCTTGAAAGATGATGTCTAGGCTCTTTTTTTGATCATGGCTTTCAGATAGTCCAATAATTTTTAAATTCTCTCTCCTGGATCTATTTTCCAGGTCAGTTGTTTTTCCAATGAGATATTTCACATTGTTTTCTAATTTTTCATTCTTTTGGATTTGTTTTACAGTGTCTTGATTTCTCATAAAGTCACTAGCTTCCAATTGCTCTATTCTAATTTTTAAGGAAGTATTTTCTTCAGTAATCTTTTGGACTTCCTTTTCCATTTGGCCAATTTTTCTTTTTAGGGCATTTTTCTCCTCATTGGCTTTTTGGACCTCTTTTGCCATTTGGGTTAGGCTGTTTTTTAAGGTGTTATTTTCTTCAGTATTTTTTTGGGTCTCCTTTAGCAAGCTGTTGACTTGTTTTTCATGATTTTCTTGCATCACTCTCATTTCTCTTCCCAGTTTTTCCTCTACTTCCCTTACTTGCTTCTCAAAATCCCTTTTGAGCTCTTCCAAGGCCTGGGACTGATTCATATTTTTCTTGGAGGCTCTCGATGTAGGAGCTTTTGTTGTCTTCTTGTGGTTGTATATTTTGATCTTCTTTTTCACCAAGGTAAGATAATATAGTCTGACTCTTTTTGCGCTGCTTGCTCATGATCCCAGCCAATTACTTGAGTTTTAAACTCCTTGTTAAGGTAAGAGTCTGCTTCCAATGTGGAGAATGTATTGTCCCAAGCTTCAGGGGTTTGTATAGCTGTTTTCAGAGATACTTATAGGGACCTGTAAATTTTCAGTTCTTCCAAGGTGGTATGATAAGGGGCGAGGTGTTTACTCCTTTCCTGGCCTGTGACCACAAGTATTCCTTTCTGTCCTGTAACTGTGAGGAGGGGTTCCTCTCCACAGCCACTACAAGCTCCACCACGCCAGCACTCCTCCTCACCCCAGCACTGCAGCCCAGAACTGTGACCCAGATCCACACACAGGCAAAGCAAGAGATTCCTGCCTCAGCACTGGCAATCCCTGCAGTCCCTCTCTGATCAGCCACTGGATTCCCCCTCAGTCTGGCGCACCCCCCCCCCCCGCCAGGCTCTTGGGGAATGGAGCTGAGACCCCGCCTTCCTCTCTGACCACCGACAGAAACAGACTTTTCCCACTGACCTTCTAAGTTGTCTTTGGCATTTGTGGATTGAGGAGTCTAGAAACCTCCACAGCTGCCCGCAATTCAGTCCTCTGAGGCCTGATTCAGGTTTGCTGCAGCCTGCACATCCACGCTGTGCTCCCAGCCCGGCGCGATACACCTTTCTGATCAATCATCCAGGTTGTCTTGGGCTGGAAATTTGTTTCACTCTGTCTTTTTGTGGGTTCTGCTGCTTCAGAATTTGTTTAGAGCCATTTTTTATGAGTATTTGGAGGGGTTTGGGGGAGAGCTCAAGCAAGTCACTGCTTTCACTCGGCCATCTTGGCTCCGTCCCGATTTAAGTCTTTTTGTAATAGATTTCATTCTACTATGTGGTATGCCTTCTGATTTTATACTCTGAATCCTGGAATGCCTCCTTATCCATATAAAGGCTATTTGTTCAGGGACTACCAAACAGAGTTTGAATGGTTTGGAGTTCTCCTATTTTCGAACTCCAAATTACTTTTATTCTCCTGTAGTAAGTATAACTTTAGCTCCCTCTCCCAGGGCCAGGCTGGCTACATTACCTTGTCAGTATTCTAGGGATATGCTGAGGGGTTGGCCTGTCTTTATATCATTGGTTAACATCCCCCACCACCTCAATGATAGCCATTAGTGACTAGCAATACAATTCATTTACCACTTAACATCAATTAGCTTTTACAATGGATATTTACTTAGAAGATATAGCAAGAAACTAAGTCTAAACATTTCCTCCAACACTTGAGGGGAAGTGGACACGCTCCTCACTATAAGGATACCTGGGCACCAGAACAGTTCACTCTCCTGACCTTTTGAAATGTACAAGGCAACATTCTCTAATTCGTCCATTTAAAATCAAAGAACAGGTGCTCAGGCAGAGGACTGAGACCCATTTTCATGGAGCCACATGACGTTGGAGGGAGAGGGCCCACGATCTCTCACCTTAAACTTACCTATTACTGTAGTATGCTATCAACTAAAGAGTCAAACCAAAATCAGAGTTCCACCAAGAGAGAGAAGGAGGCTGAGGCTAAGCCTTTTGAAGGCATTCCCAGTTCTGCTTCCTTAACTGCAGCCAATTAAAGAGGCTACTATGCACTACGTAGTTGTCAAACCCCAACCAGTTACAGGATGTCTATGCATATCCACATGTTCCAAAATCTTTCTAAGGCACTTCTGTTGCACATCATCATGACTACTGGAAGGCAAGACTTCAGTCTCTTCTAGGTGGGGGAATTTCATCAGCTGAGCTTACTGAGGCACTCTGCTATTGTGCAGTCCCCCTTATACTACCTGTGTAGATTCATGTATGAGAAAAGTCATTGAGATAAAGCTAAATTGAGGGGAATGAGGGCATTGTCTCCTCTAGGTGCCCAGCCACATTCTTGGCCTTTCTTGTGCAGATACATCCAGCAAATCTTGAAAAGAGTTAGATCATCTTTCCAGGAGATTTTTTTGGTGTTATATAGGTCAAAAGGACCCTAGGCAAAAATGGAAGGTGGATAGAAGTTGATTTGGGGTACCCTTCCAGCTTCATTTTTCACTTGCTTCTAGCCTCCTTCCCTTTTATTTCAGTTTCCAATGTTCCCAGAGTACTCAGGCTATCTTTGGTTGTCTAAGGTATCACCACTGTAGCGTTCCCCTCTTGCCTTTGCTCCCTGGAAATATTACAAGTTCCAGCATTATACCCCTTTCCCCACCAAATCAAAACTTCCATTCTGTAACAGCAGGAACTCTTTTTTGTCTATATTTTGTACCAATCCCAGACTGTGAAGAATAGATGCTTAATAAAAGTTTGTTGTGTGAATAAATCCTAATAGTTTACTGATTTTAGTGAGAAGTTAGAGGACAGTATGCAGTCAGATTATCTGACTAAAGTAGTTCATAATAAAATGGCTTATAGTCAACTTTACCAGAAGAAATTTGTCTTTTACAGACCTTCATTTAACCCCCCATGAATTTTTAATTGGTATAAGAGGTGGGGAGAGATTTTTGTAACAGAATCTTTTCTGGTGCTTTCTGCTAACTCTGGACAACCAGTTGCTATTCCCCCTCCTTTAGAATTGTCACTTTATAGGATTATAGTTTTAGGAATGGAAGGAACTTCAGAGACCATATAGTGTAACCCTCTCATTTTACAGATGAGGAAACTGAAGGTCAGTGGGGTTAAGTGACTCACCCAAGCTTACATAGGTAATAAGTGGCTGAGGTGGGATTTAAATTCACCTCTGTGCTTTCTATTTTTAATGCACTTTAACTGCAAATTGTGTATTTCTATATATTTGGTGGCAAAGAGTAATATGTATCAGTGGCTACAATATTTAGGGTATATCTAGAAAACACAGTATCAAAACTAACAAAATCATAGACTCCTAGAGCTGGAAGGGACCTTGAATATTACCTAATGAAACCCCATAATTTTACACAACAAGAAAGCTGAAGTCCAGAGAGAGTAGTAAGTGATTTGTCCAAGTTCACACAGCTAACTAGTGACAGAGATGAGACTCCAACCCAGGTATCTTGACTCTCAATTAGGGATCTTTCCACTATTCTATTCAATAAAATCAGTGTCATATTGTCCTCCAGGCAAAAAAAAAAAAAACAGATTAGCTCTCTTTCTTAGCACTGGTGTTGGGAGGAGGAAGAAAGTACATAGAGTGGGGAAGGGGTAGAGAATGTTTCTTTCCATGAGGAGACTTTTGAAAGCAACCTTGATCTTATTTTGGCTGAGGTGAGGTAAGGGAAATCCTTATCCTTCAACTTGATCCCAAACAATTTTTTTTAAAAAATCCTTGCTATGGAATTGTATAACTAAGAAACTTATGAAGATTTTGTTAACAGAAGTCTAGAAATGCAATAACTTTCTTTTTATTGGAAATCCAGAGATGGTCAACTTTTAAATTTACTATCATTTTCATTTTATATCACAAAATCACAGGATCCCAGTCAGAAGGTAACTGAATAATCATTATGTCCAACTCATAGCTGAGAAAGAACCTCATCTATAACATACCTGACAATTAGTAATACAGAATCTGCTTGAAGATCTCCAATGATGGGGACCCCACCACTTTCCATGGCAGCCTATTCTACTTTGGACAATTCTGTTCAGAAATTTTATTGTTGTTGTTATTTAGTCATTATCAGTCCAATTCTTCATGTCCCTTTTTGGGGATTTCTTGGCAAAGACATTAGAATGGTGTGCCATTTCCTTCTCTAGCTCATTTTATAGATGAAGAAACTAAGGCAAACGAAGTTAAATGACTTGCCTAGGGTCACACAGCTAGCAAGCGTCTGAGGCCAGATTTGAAATCAGGTCTTCCTGATTCCAGGCCTGGTACTCTATCCACTATGACATCTAGCAGAAATTTTCTGATATCAAACCCAAATTTACTTCTTTGCAACTCTACCAATTGATTCTAGTGCTGCCCTCTGAGGCTGAACAGAACAAGTCTAATTACTCTTCTACATGTTAGCCATCAAATACTCAAAGCCAGCTATCATTGTCTTTTCTTTTTAAGGTTAATCATCCCTGGTCCATCAAACAATCTTCATATGATGTGAACTGAAGATTCTTCATCATTCTAGTTGCTTTCTGTTGGATGATCTCAAGCTTATTCATGTTTTTCCTAAATGTAGCAGCCAGAACAGAAAACAATATTCCAGGTGTGGTCTCACTAGGACACAGTACAACAGGATGACCACTCCACATTCTTGGAAGGTTTGTCTCTATTGAATCCATGTTTGAATTAGCTTATTTGGAGACCATGTCATAATGTTGACTTATGTTAAGCTTGCCGTCTGTTAAACTCCCTAAATCTTTTTCCCCCAGATAAACTGCTGTCTGACCAAGCTTCCTTTATCCTATACTTGGGAAATTACTTTTTTGAACCAAATATAAGACTTTGCAATCTGAAAATTTTATCTTATTAGACTCAACTCAATCATCTAACCTGTCAAGAGCTTTTTGGAACCCAATTGTCAATCAAGCATGTTAATGATCCTACCCAACTTTGTATTATTAACAAATTTAACAATTACGGATCTTGTAAAGTCATTGCTAAAACTGTTAAGCAATAGATAGCCAAGCATTGATCTCCAGGGCACTCCATTGGAGACATCTATTGACACTGAACCTTAATATTTGTCAAAGGGGAGTTGCCCATTCACCACTTCTGAATGCATCCAATTGTACTATCACATATCTCTCATCTTTCTGTCTTTTACAGAAGAATAGCATGAGATATTTTATTATGTTTTTCGTCAGAAGGTAATGAACTAGTAGATAAGGAAGATTATAGAGAGTATGGAGATGATAGTGAGAGCAATCTGCTGGTGATGACAAAAGGAGATGAGATCAAGAGTACATAGAGAAAGATTGCCTTGGCAAGAGGGGACACTTGTCCTTTAAAGGAGAAGGATTAGAAAGAACAATGTCATGAAAGGCTTGAGGACATTGAAGATATTGGAACAGCCTCTGTGGTGTGTGCATTAGAGAATCAATCAGGGAGAAGCAGATTTACCATATAAGGGCCCTCTCCTGTTTCTATCTCTATCAGTCTTTACTTATTTATACTCCACTATATTTCTTCACTCTTGTGGTTCTTAGATTTCATTACATGCAGATAGCTTCCATCTTTAAAAGTTTTGTTGATGTGTTTTGTTTTTAACATTACAAACATTTACAGATTACTACTGCTTAGTGAGAGTTCTCTCCTAACAAAGTAAAAGATCTAAGGTAAACTAATAGCACAGTGACCTCATCTGAAAATAAATGTAACATTTCACACCTGTAGCACCCTCATCTTTCTATTTTAAAAAATGTAAGAAATCTATTTTCTCTCCCTCCTAATCCTACCCTATTGGGAACAAAAGAAAAAAAATTCATAGATAATACTATTCCACTCCTTTTTTCTGTTTACTTTGAAAAAATGATACCCTACCAGATCCACATTCTATAGCATATGAGTACCATGCTGACAAGTCTCACTTATACTTCTGAGATCACCTTAGCCTCCTTCCATTAAGACTTCTAATTAATCTTGCTTGTTGTCTATTATTTATGTATTTGTAAAGGTATTTAGGTTACTCAGGTGGTGCAGTGGATAGAGTGCCCAGCCTAGAGTAATGAAGACCTGAGTTCAAATCCAGCCTCAGATATTTGCTAGCTGTGTGACTCTGGGAAAATAATACTATTAGCTTCAGTTTCCTCATTTATAAAAGAAACCACAGAAGAAAATGGCAAACCACTCCATTATCTTCACCAAGAAAAGGGGTCATGAAGAGTCGGACCCATCTGAAACAACTGAACAACAACATAGTATTTGAGGCCATGTACTTTACTATAGGCTTTCCTGGATTTTGTCCCTTGTGAACTACTGGGTATTTTAACTGTTACTCTTCATATGGTACAGTTACTCTCTATGTCATCTATTTGTTAGGAAGTTTTCACATTCCTCCTTTCTTGTCAGTTTAAGGGCATTTGATTAGATTTCAAAGATCTCAGGTAAATACGTTCTTACAAGCTCTCATTAGGTGTCCTTCATCCCTGCCAGGAGCCTGTCATTTTTATATTTTAAACTATGGTCCAGAAATACAAATCACATTCTTAGACATCACTTTCATCAACTGTTTACTTCCCTCAAATACTTTTCTCACCTGCATCTCTTGTCTTCCATGACCAACAGTAGTAAAAACATTGTCTACGCCTCTATGATCTTCAAAATGCTGCTCAGTTTTTTGCAGCAAGGTTACACAGTGGATAGAGCACCAAGCCTGGACTCAAGAAGACCTAAGTTTTAATCTGGTCTCAGCTACCCATAGGTAAGCCATTTGACATCTTTCTGCCTCAGTTTCCTCAATTTTTATTTTTTAAAAATTTATTTAGTATTTCATTTCTCCCCAATTACACGTAAAAACAACTTTAACATTTATTTTTAAAACTTTGAGCTCCAAATTCTCTCCCTTCCTCCCTTCCTACCCCTGTTATTGAGAAGGCAAGCAATTCGATATAGGTCATACATGTGTAGTCACGCAAAACACATTTCCATATTAGCCATGTTATGGAAGAAACCATGGACTCTCCCCTCCAAAAAAATAAACTCAAGAAAAATAAATTTTAAAAAAAGTACACTTCAATTCTTATTCAGAGTCCATCAGTTCTTTGCCTGGGAATGGATAGTGTTTTTCATCATAAGTCCGTTAGAGTTGTTTTGGATTATTATATTGCTGAGAATAGCTAAGTCATTCACGCTGATCATCTTATGATATTGCTGTTACTTTTTACACAGTACATTTCACTTTGCATCAGCTCATGTAAGTCTTTCCATGTTTTTCTGAGAATATCCTGCTCATCATTTCTTGTAGCACAATAGTATTCCAACACAATCACAATCACACAATCACATTTGTTCATAAATTCCTCAATTGATGGGCATACTCCCAATTTCCATCTCCTTGCCATCAGAAAAGAGCTGCTATGAATATTTCTATATATGTAGGTCCTTTTCCCCTTTTTAAAATCTCTTTTTGGATACAGACCTAGCAGTGGCAATGCTAGATCAAAGAGTGTACATGGTTTTATAGCCCTTTGGGCATAGTCCCAAATTGCTCTAAAGAATGGTTGAATCAGTTCACAACTCCACCAACACTACATTAATGTCTCATTTTTCCCACATCCCCTCCAACATTTGTCATTTTCCTTTTCTGTCCTATTAACCAATCTAATAGGTATTAAATATTACCTCGTAATTGTTTCAATTTACAATCAATAGTGAGTTAGAGTATTTTTATATGGCTAACTCACTATTGATTGTAAATTGAAACAGTTCTGAGGTACTATCTCATACCTTCCCCTCCACTGTAAAAGCTTTTTCCTGCTGATTTTATGACAAATAATTCACCCCATTCTACCCCATTCCCTTTCCCTTTCTCCCAGTGCATTCCTCTTTCTCACCCCTTAATTTTATTTTTTTAGATTTCATCCTTTCATATTCATGTCACACATGTGCCCTCTGCCTAAATATACTCCTAACTGCCCTAATAATGACAAAATTTTATGAGTTATAATTATTATCTTCCCATATAGGAATGTAAACAGCTTAACCTTATTAAGTCCCTTATGATTTCCCTTTCCTGTTTACCTTTTTATACTTCTCTTGAGTATTGTATTTGAAAGTCAAAATTTCTATTCAGCTCTGGTATTTTCATCAAGAATTCTTGCAAGTCCTGAGTTTCACTGAATGTCCATTTTTTTCCCTGAAGGATCATACTCAGTTTTGCTGGATAGGTGATTCCTGGTTGTAATCCTAACTCCTTTGCCCTCCAGAATATCATATTCCAAGCCCTCCAATCCTTCAATGTAGAAGCTGTTAAATCTTGTGTTATCCTGACTGTGGCTCCATGATATTTGAATTGTTTCTTTCTGACTGCTTGTAATATTTTCTCCTTGACCTGGGAGCACTGAAATTTGGTTAAAATATTCCTGGGAGTTTTCGTTTTGGGATCTCTTTCAGGAGATGGTCAGTGGATTCTTTCAATTTCTATTTTACTCTTGGTTCTGGAATATCAGAGCAGTTTTCTTGATAATTTCTTGAAAGATGATATCTAGGCTCTTTTTTTGATCATGGCTTTCAGGTAGTCCAATAATTTTTAAATTATGTCTCCTGGATCTGTTTTCCAGATCAGTTGTTTTTCCAATGAGATATTTCATGTTTTCTTAAATCTTTTCATTCTTTTAGTTTTGTTTTATTGTTTCTTGATTTCTCACAAAGTAATTAGCTTCCATTTGTTCAATTCTAATTTTTAAGGAATAATTTTCTTCAGTGAGCTTTTGTACCTCCTTTTCCATTTGACCAACTCTACTTTTTAAGTTTTTTTCCCCAGTGAATTTTTGTATCTCTTTTTCCATTTGGCCAATTCTGCTTTTCAAGGCATTCTCCTCATTGGCTTTTTGTTTTTACCATTTGACTTAGTTCGTTTTTTAAGGTGTTATTTTCTTCAGTATTTTTTTGTGTCTCTTCTATCAAGCTGTTGCCTCTTTTTTAATGATTTTCTTGTATCACTCTCATTTCTCTTCCCAATTTTTCTTCTACCCTTTTACTCAATTTTCAAAACCCTTTTTGAGCTCTTCCGTGGCCTGAGACCAATTCATATTTTTCTTTGAGGCTTTAGATGTTGGAGCTTTGACTTTGTTATCCTCTTCTGAGTGTGTATTTTGATCTTCCTTGTTACACAGTAACTTTCAATGGCCAGAATTTTTTTCTTTTTTCTTTTGTTCAGTTTTCCAGTCTATTTCTTGACTTTTAACTCTTTGCTAAAGTGGGACTCTGCTTCCAGGGTGGAGGGCACACTGTCCCAAGCTTCCAGGGTTTTGTACAGCTGTTTTCAGAGTTACTTCTAGGGACCTGTAAGTTTTCAGTTCTTCCAAGGTGGTATGACCTAAGGAGAAGTGTGTTTACTACTCTCCTGGCCTGTGCTCTGGTCTGTGAGTAACCACAAGCACTCTTTTATGCCCTGGAACTGTGAAGAGGGTGCCCATTGCACTTTGGCTGCAATCTCTGGTGTGATAGTGCTCTTCCTTGCCCTAGGACTTCCACCCAGGATTGTGACCCAGATCTGAGTATGGACAAAACAACAGAGTCCTGCCTCCAGTCCCAGCAAAGAGACCCTTGTAATCTCCTTCTGATCAGGTCTTCAACCCCCTTACTGTCTGTGGGCTAAGAGCTCCAGAAGCAGCTGCTGCCTCTGCTGATTCAGTGGCTCCCAAGGCTTGCTCCTGGTTTGCTGGTGCTGGGTTTGTGCTAGCACAGCTTGTGCTGGACTGTGCTCCACTGTCACATAAGGTGATAGACTTTTCCTGCCAACCTTCTAAGTTGTCTTTGGCTGGAAAATTATTTCACTCCATCCTTTTGTGGGCTCTGCCACTTCAAGAATTGTTTTATGGCATTATTTAAAGGTGTTTGGGGTTTTGGGCAGAGCTCAGGCAAGTCACAGACTTTTCTCCACCATCTTGGCTCTGCCTCTCAGTTTCCTCAATTTTAAAACACGTATAATAACAGCACCTACCTCCCAAAGTTGTTGAAAGGATCAAATGAGGTAATGTTTTAAAGCATTTAGCACAGTGCCTGGCACATAGTAGCTGCTTAATAAATGCCTGATCCCTTTCCTTTTCCCTGTTTCCCCCCAAAAAAGCTTGGCAATGCTTTTTAGATTTCTTTTGGAAGTATTATTTTGGCTCACATAAATCAATGCATATGGGTAGTTGTGATCTATTTTGGTAAGTCTTAGGAGACTCCATATCTTGGATTTATGCCAAGACAAAAGACTTCTAGAGATTAAACAAAGGCAAAAATAAAAACACTTCCCCCTCTTGAGGAATTTACTTTCTATCTGTGGAGATGATATGTACATGTATAAGTATATACAGCTCTCCTGGTAGAATATATGCTCCTTGAAAGTAGGGACAGGGGCTTGTTTTTGTCATTGTATCCCTAGCATTAACACAAGAACATAGTAGGTGCTTCATAATGCTTGTTGATTGATTGACAGAATAAATAATATGAGGCAGTTTAGGGAGAAAGGGCACTAGTATTTTGGGGATCCAGAAAAAGAAACTTCATGTAGGGGGCAGCACTTGAGCTAAATCTTGAAGGAAATAAGGGATTTTGTAAAACAGAGGTGAAGAGGGAGTGAGTCCTAGGCATGAAGAATGGCCAGTGCAAAGCCGCAGAGACAAAAGATGGCATGTCATGTGTGAGGAACAAAGAAAAGTGTAGTTCGGTGAGACCAGGGAATAAAAGAAGGAGAGTAATGCATAATGAGCCTGGAAAGTGTGTGTTGGTCAGGTTGAGGTCTTTGGAGGCAAAACAGAGAAGCTGACATTTTATGCCAGAGGTAATAGGGAGCTACTAAAATTTGTTGATTTGTGGAGTGATGTTGTCAGACCTAGACTTCTTGCTCTTCCTCACATTCCACCCATCCTCTCAATGCTTTTGCACAGGCTGCTTCTCGATGTGCTTCCACCCACCTTCACCTCTGCCTCTTAGAATCCCCCTTTTCCTTCAGAGCTCAGTTTAGATGCCACCTCTTACATGAGGTCTTTTCCGATCCCTCACTTACCCAGCTGCTGTTGCTTTCTCTCCACCCTCCCCAAAAAATCCCTTGGAATTTATTTTTTTTGCATAAACTTATTTGTGTCCGTATCATCTCACACGATAGAATATAAGTTCCCTAAGAGCAATGATTGTCTTATTATTGTTTTTGCATTCCCAATGTCTGGTACATAATAGGTACTTATTAAATGTTTGCTAATTAATTATTACCAGATATATTTATGTTAAGACTGACCCATTTGAGTCTCAGTTTGCTTATGGAAACTCAATGAATACAGTTATATTTGAGATCACATATAATACAAGGAAACAGGGTAGACTTTATGTCAAATTTAAAATTTTAAACTCCACCAAAACATAATTACATTTTTTCAGAGAGTATTCCGAAGACCATTATTAGCTGATCATATGTCAAGTGTGACCCATGGCCATTCTAGGAGAGATGAGCTTCATAGATGTTTGTATATGCCTTATAGTAAGTCAAAGCACTCTTCAAAATTCTGGCATTCATTAGTACGATATACTAGAGGAATACAAATTTTAGTCAGAGTCAAGACAGATGTATCTAAAATTAGGGAGCCTGAAAATAAAAATAATGTTTTGATCTAAACCAATCAGTCAGTCTAAACGTGTCTTTGAGACCTACTATGAGCTTGAAGCTGCATTAGTCATGTACAGTGGAGGACTACAGCAACATGATTCATGGTCCCTGCCCTCAGAGCACTTATAGTTTAATTATGGGGTGAAAAATGCTACCTCCAAAACAATAATGAAACACATAAGACTATATGCAGGTTCTAAGTCATGTGGCATGGATTTTAAATGCTGTAGGATTTCAAGGAAGAAGGAGATGTGTGACTAAATGTGTGGTCAGGTAAAACTCCACAGGACAGTTGAATCTTGAAAGGTAGATAGAATATAGATAAGTGGAGGAATGAGTGGAAGGTAATCTAGATGATATGGAAGAATAGGAACAAACTATGGTGTATTTATGGTTCAGTGAAACTATCACATTATAGGGGAGAGTGTACATTGAGAATCAGTGGAACATTAGGTTAATGAGTAGGGTGGACCCAGATGGTGAGGGCCTTGAAATATAGGCAGAGAAACAGACAAGAAGAGCAGCTTCGACAGCTGAAGGTTGACCTTATTATGCCATTAAAAAGGAAAGCAAGCTCTATATAACAGAGAACTACAGTTTCATGTATGATCTTTTTGTATTCTAACACACACACACGCACAAATGCCCATTTTATTTGGTGTTTGTTAGGTCAAGAATAAAAAGAAGTTTTTAAAAAGCAACTTAGAAGAGTTTAAACTTGATGTGATAGGAGATGGGGAGCCATAGAAAGTTTCTGAGTACAGAAGCAATGTGATAAAAATGCTATTTTAGGAAGATTAGTCAGCAAATTGTATGCAGAATGCACTCATACCTTTCCTTTAACTCTGTTTTGCTCTTTGAGGGCACAAAGCAAATACATCCTTATCAGCAGAATAAAGCAAACAGTAGTTGGTGTTTTTCTGTTGCAGTTGAGATAAGCCATCTTATCTGAGATCCAATCCCTCTGATCTTTTGAGAGGGATTAGAAATCTAGGAAAGGTTGCCAAGGTAACAAAACATTATGTTATTATGAACAGTATGATTCAGGGGTTATATCATCTGTTTTCTTAAAATATCATAGGCCTAAACTAAAGGTTGGAGATTGGGATTCTATCAACCTTTAGAGGATAGTAGTCCAAGGGTTTACAGAGAGAGAAGAGAAAGGTCTATTCTATCCCAACCTCATCTGCCCTCCAACAGTGGAACGACATGCAATATCTTTTCCAGTCATCTTTCCTGGGATACTTGGCCACCTGAACAACTAGGCAAGTGATTTACATCCTTTTGTGTCATTGTTAATACTCTACTGTCTGTTTAAAATTTGTAATGCTTCCCTTTTTTCTCACCTCTTTTTTCCATCAGTGTTAAATAATAGGTGGTTAATAATTGTTGATTGATTAGGTGATGGAGTACAGAGAACACTGGTAACTCTGAGCAGAGGAGTTGATCAATCCATCTGTCAAGAATTATTGAGCAACTGCTATGTGTTAGATTTTACTGTTGTCTCTGATGGCACTCCTGGTGAAAATGGATGGAGGTACTCCATGGTGCATGCCAAATGGGGAGATTCCAGTGATATAAAAGTTCTAGCCTGAGCTAATAGGCCTTGCTGAGTCTCAGTTTCCCAGCAGAACTAGGTCTTCAGTGTGGTGGAGTGAAAAGAATACTGGATTTAGATTCAGAAGACCTGAATTTAAATCCTGACTCTGCCAATAACTGGCTATTTGACTTTGGGCAAAAGTATTTCTACCCTAGAGTGCAGATTTCTTCATCTTTAAATCAATCAGAAAGTATTTTTAACGGCTTACTATATGCCAGGTCCTTGCCATATGCCCTTCTCACAAAATAAAGAGTGTCAAAGGAAAAAAGGTCTTAAAAACAGACAAGAAAATAAAATGAATCACATAACTATATATATATATACATATATACATATATATGTATGTAATATGTATGTAATATGTATTATATATATGTAATAGCCTCCTAATATCCTCAGATGAACAGCCTGTTTAAAGAAATGAAGCAAAAATTAATACTTCTTTAAAAAATCACAAGGTGAAATGTAATAAAAGTTTGAAGAAATTTTTAAAATCACATGAAGAATACAAATTAAAATTAAAGATGCTTGGATCAGTAATAAATAATGAAAAGTCATCAATATGAAAAATATGTAAATTCTCAAAAAATCCATAGATGCAAACAACTGGCTTACTACATCCAAAAATGATTTCCCACAATGCAGAAAAAAAGTAAATACTGCGGAAGTTAGGTGGCACACTAGAGAGAGCACCAGCCATGAATTCAGGAGGACCTGAGTTCAAATCTAGCCTCAGACACTTACTAGCTGTGTGACCCTGGGCAAGTTACTTAACCCCATTGCCTAACCAAAAAAGAAGAAGAGAAGAAGAAGAAGAAGAAGAAGAAGAAGAAGAAGAAGAAGAAGAAGAAGAAGTAAATACCATCTCACAAAAGTCACTAAGTTATTCAAAGAATTAGAATACATACAGATCAAAATGACAGACCTAGAGATTTCAATAGCCTCAAATCTTAAACAATTTCAAAATTATTGACATCCCAGAAAATTTAGAAAAACAAAAGAATATGGATATTATGTTTCAGGAAATAATAAAATAAAACATCTCAGAATTTAAAAAAAAATAACAAATGATAAATAGAATCCACAAGGAGGAAAACCCAAGATTCAATATACCTTGACACATCATGGCTTAATTTCAATAAGGAAATTTCAACTTGCAAAGAAATTAGCACAAGCTACCAATAGAAATGTAGAAACAATTTATTAAGGAACAATAATCAGGATTACCATGAGATTTTCATGGAAGACAAGAGATGATGTGAAGAAATGAAATACAACATATAGAAAATTAAGAAGCAAAAGCCAAACCCCCAGAATTATCTAACCAGCAAAATCCATTATGATATTTGAAGTAAAGAAATGAGTAGTTGATATGCCCAAAGGGCAACTAAACTGTGCATACCTTTTGATCCAGCAGTATTACTGCTAGGTCTGTATCCCAAAGAGATCATAAAAAAGGGAAAATGGCCTAAATGCACAAAAAATTGTAGCAGCTCTTTTTTTGTGGTGGCAAAGAATGGGAAATTATGGGGATGCGGTAAATGAATGGAGTGGAATACTATTATGCAATAAGAAATGATGAGCCGGCAGATTTCAGAGAAACCTGGAAAGCCCTGTAGGAACTGATGCAAAGTGAAATAAGCAGAACCCGGAGAACACTGTATATAGTAATAGCAATATTGTGTGATGATCAACTATTAATGACTTGGCTCTTCTCAGCAATACAATGATACAAGACAATTCCAAAGGGTTCATGATGGAAAATGCTGTTCACCAATTTGGAACTATGCCCAAAGGGCTATACCCTTTGACCCAGCAACAGCACTTCTGGGGCTATATCCCAAAGAGATCATACAAATGGGAGAAGGACCCACATGTACAAAAATATTCATAGCAACTCTTTCTGTGGTGTCAAAGAACTGGAAATTTAGAGGATGCCCATCAACTGGGAAATGGCTGAACAAGTTGTGGTATATAAATGTAATGGAATACTATTGTGCTATAACAAATGATGAACAGGCTGACTTCAGAAAAACCTGGAAAGACTTCTATGGTCTGATGCTGAGTGAAATGAGCAGAACCAAGAGAACATTGTACACAATAACAGCCACGTTGTGCGATGACTAACACTGATAAACTTAACCCTTCCCAGCAACACAAGGATCTAAGACATCTCCAGAGGCCTCATGATGGAAAACGCTATCCACATCCAAAGAAAGAACTATGAAAGTTGAATTGCTATTTTTTTTCTCTTCTGTTGAGTTTTGTTTCCTCTTTCTGATGGTTCCTCCTGTTGGTTTTAATTTTTACTTACAATACCACTAATGTGAAAATATGTTTAATAGGAATGTAAATGTATAGCCTATATCAGATTGTGTGCCATCTTGGGGAGGGTGGTAGGGAGGAAGGGGGAGAAAAATTTCGACTCAAAAGCATATGGAAGTGATTATTGATAAATCAAAATAAATTAATAAAATTTTAAAAAATTAAAAAAAAAAGAAAAAAGAAAATGCTATGCACTTCTAGAGAAAGAATTGATGGAGAGGCAGAGCCAAGATGGCAGAGTAAAAGCTGCTTCAGCTTTCCCCAAACCCCTCCAAATACCTATAAAAAAATGGCTCTAAACAAATTCTAAAGCACCAGAAACCACAAAAAGACAGAGTGAAACAAATCGAGCCCAAGACAACCTGGATAGTTGAGGCTGGGAGTGAAACGCAGTTTGGTGTGGGCACACAGGCCTCAGCAAACCTGGAGCAGGCCTCAGAGGACTGAATCACAGGCAGCTTGGCAGTTTCCAGACTTCTCAGCCCACAAACGCCAAAGACCTCTTAGAAGGTTAGTAGGAAGGGTCTGTGTCTGAGGTGAGAGAAAAGTGCGAGGTCACAGCCCCAGTTGCCAAGTGTGGCCCCTGGGCAGCCAGCAGCTGCTTCTGTAGCTTCCAGCCCATAGGCTGAGGGAGAATCAAGTGGCTGGTCTGAGAGGGATTGCAGGGATCTCTTTGCTGGTGTTGAATTCTCTTGCTTTGCCCATGCTTGAATCTGGGTCACAGTTCTAGGTAGTGGTCCTGGGGCAAGGAGGAGTGCTGGCATGGTGGAGTTTGTCTTGGTAGTGGAGAGGAATCCTCCTCACAGTTCCAAGACAGAAAAGAGTGCTTGTGGTCACTCAGACCACAGCATAGGCCAGGAAAGGAGTAAACACCTCGCCCTTGATCATAGTACCTTGGAAGAACTGAAAATTTACAGGTTGCTAGAAGTATCTCTGAAAACAGCTGCACAAAATCCCGAAGCCTGGAAGTAGGCTCCTACCTTAACAAAGAGTTTGTAACTCAAGTAATTGGCTGGGATCATAAGCAAGCAGTGCAAAAAGAGTCAGATCATAGGATCTTACTTTGGTGACAAAGAAGATCAAAACATACAATCAGAAGAAGACAACAAAGTCCTACATCCAAAGCCTCCAAGAAAAATATGAATTGGTCCAGGGCCACAGATGGGCTCAAAAAGGATTTTGAGAAGCAAGTAAGAGAAGTAGAGGAAAAACTGAGAGTGATGCAAGAAAATCACGAAAAACAAGTCAACAGCTTGCTAAAGGAGACCCCCCCAAAAAATACTGAAGAAAATAATACCTTAAAAAATAGCCTAATCCAAATGCCAAAAGAGGTCCAAAAAGCCAGTGAGGAGAAGAATGCCCTAAAAAGCAAAATTGGCCAAGTGGAAAAGGAAGTCCAAAAGCTTCCTGAAGAAAATGCTTTCTTAAAAGTTAGAATGGAGCAATGGGAAGCTAGTGACTTTATGAGAAATCAAGACACTGTAAAACAAATCCAAAAGAATGAAAAAATAGAAAACAATGTGAAATATCTCATTGGAAAAACAACTGACCTGGAAAATAGATCCAGGAGAGAGAATTTAAAAATTATTGGACTATCTGAAAGTCATGATCCAAAAAAGAGCCTAGACATCATCTTTCAAGAAATTATCAAGGAAAACTGCCCTGATATTTTAGAACCAGAGGGCAAAATAGAAATTGAAAGAATCCAGATCCTCCTGAAAGAGATCCCCAAAGGAAAACTCCTAGGAATATTGTAGCCAAATTCCAGAGTTCCCAGGTCAAGGAGAAAATATTACAAGCTGCCAGAAAGAAACAATTCAAGTATTGTGGAAACACAATCAGGATAACACAAGATTTAGCAGCTTCTACATTAAAGGACCAGGGCATGGAATATAATATTCCAGAGGGCAAAGGAGATAGGATTACAACCAAGAATCACCTACCAGCAAAACTGAGTATAATCCTTCAGGGGAAAAAATGGTCATTCAGTGAAATAGAGGACTTTCAAGCATTCTTGATGAAAAGACCAGAGCTGAATAGAAAATTTGACTTTCAAATACAAGACTCAAGTGAACATGAAGAGGTAAACAGGAAAGAGAAATCATAAGAGACTTATTAAGTTGAACTGTTTACATTCTGCATGGAAAGATGATATTTGTAACTCATGAGACCTTTGTCAGTATTAGGTAGTTGAGGGAAAAAATTATATGTATGTATGATGATAGATAGATAGATAGATAGATAGATAGATAAAAAAGAGGGCACAGGGTGAGTTGAAGATGAAGGGGTGATATCTGGAGAAAAAAATTAAAGGGTGAGAGAGGATTAC